AGATCAGTATTTTTTGGATCATGATATTGAGTTTCACCAACTAAATAACACCTTAATCTTCAGTTTTCTATATTGAGACACATTTAGCAATAAAACGTTCAATTATTTTTTGTCACCATTGTTAACCTGCTGTTAGAATGATTTGATAGTGTGAACAAAAAGATCAGTTCAGATGAGGTAAAAGCAGCATCATTTTAACAAATGAAATATGTTACATGGCCTCACAAATTAGCTAACATCTCTGGTGCATAATATAGATTGAAAAACACATCCTTGTTCTTCTCAAGCCATGGCTCACTAGTGAGAAACCACAAATACTTACGCAAACCTCAATTTAAATTCATTATCTAATGCACTGCTTATAGTTTGACTCAGTGCTTATAGTTAATTACTTTATCCCCAAATTCACAATAAGAATTTGAGTATTTTCTGGAGGAACAAATGAATATAAGACCTAAAACTGGTATATTTCCCTCTGATTAGAAATGCTAAACATAGTTTAGTTCCAGAATGTCTGTCGCCTAAAATGGCCAATTGTTCTATTTTGGCAGGTGGTAGGGAGCGTGTGGTCATGCAGGGCAGCACGTGGGATCTTTCTTTGCTGACCAGGGAATGAACCCACACTATGCCCCCCTGCACTGGAAGCATGGGGTCTTAACCACTGAACCACCAGGAAAGACCCTGGTCTCCTAGAGTTCCATTTGGGTGGACAGACAGTATCAGCAAGGTCATGCTTTTATTTCATAGAGAAATCATGAGAGAAATGAATGACCTAAAGCAATGGTTATGCAGTATTCTGCTGCATATTAGGACAGAAGGCAGATGAAAGGAATTCAATTTGGTCTGAGAGTACACAGACATTGTAGTACTCAGATATCAGGAGGTGAGCTATTAGCATTTGAAATTTTATTGATTTTTTTCCCCCCACATTCACTAGCTGATTATTACATGGAGAATTATATTCACTCTAGACTATGAAAGTGTACAGACTCTGTTTTACAGGAGTCTTCTGCCAGTTTGAAAAAAGGAAAAGTATTAAGCAGGAATCAGACTTAGAATGGAAGAGTAGGATTATAAGACCCTTATTGTGGCGTTCACTATTATTTTAGAAATTTTGTAAATGACAAGGACAGTGGAGATCCCTATACTAACATGAAAGCATCCAAGATACCTCCTAAAGCAGAAAAGAAATGTTTTTTTTGACTCATCATTTGCCAGTTGTCCATAACACAAATAGTTCACGTTTGTAAAGCAGTTGTTTCAAACTTGAGACTTTATTTACAATGATAATTTTCATATCTTTATTACTTAGAAAATAATTTATATTTTTTCATCATTTAAACAAAGAATAGGCCTGAGTCTCATGCCTTTTGCACAGCTTTTACCTTCAATGAAAGTTCTCTGGGAAGGTGACAGGGACACTGCAAATCTTAGAGAGGCAAGGGCGTGAGGAAATGGCAATACAGACGTGCAATGTAGCCTACTTGACATACAATGCCTTATCTTTAGTTTTACTGGGACTGCAATGGTTAGGATTTGTTCTGGAATTCCATCAAAACAGAATAGACATAATGGGGATTTTTGTGTTTAGAAAGTAGATATTTTCTTAAACATGAGGAAATTCCTTTACTTTTCAGATGAAGACCAACATAGATAAATCCCTGCACAGAGCTACTGTCTTCATTTTCGACTAAGAGCAAAACCAGGTCTTATGTAAATTACAAAAACAAATTATAGTTTTAAAATATGCTAACATGGTGTTTTCACTAAGGAAACAATATATCCTCAGGGTTGGCTTAGATTGATAACCAGAAAGACATTCTATCAGCATGCAGGAAATGATATTGGTGACACATTTAAATACCTGGTCTTTTACTGAACAGAGAGCAACCACAAGCATCAAGGTCACCAATTCCTACATTTCCTACCATTAACTTCATGGCTGTCCATACAATTCTCCTTTTCCGTAAGAGGGCTAGACATTCCTTCCTTTGTAAGACCTGAGTTTATCTAATGGCACCTATAATTAGGCTCATATAAAAATGTAGTAAATTGCAACAAATACACTGGCACCACAGGAAGTAGGCTTTGGAGCTGGAAGGGAACACTGTAATATTGCTGTCACCAAGGACAGGGAGACCATCACTAGCAGAAAGTATCTTTTCACGGCCCTCGGCATCCTTTGGGATGTAGGTGGGGGGTGTACGAAAGTCACACACTTGATGAATCTCCATTCCTTTTTTTGAACTGACTTTTAGCTTTAACACATGGGCAATTTATCTTGGAAGAACAAAGGGTTAATCTGCCTGGACTGATGAGCACATTTCTGGAGTGAAGAGGTTCTCACTGCTTTGGCTATCATTATTTCATGTACTCCAAACAAAACGAAAGTCAGGCCACATGCTTAGACCTTTACTCTGGCGCCCAGGTTGGCGCCTACTTGGGGTTACCTACACTGGAGCTTTGATGAAACCACCAATACACGGTTATGGATTCAGAAGGATTTTGCTGCCATTCAGCCTCCTCAGCACCTATTTCTTTCCCTTCACTTTTATATTTATGGCATTTGGAGCATGGGGAAAGATTAGCTTTGTTAAGTAATTAGATACAAGAGGTATGTGAATATAAGTGCTTTTCTAAATCCTTCTGTTATTTGCAACGAAAGGAAAATAGTTAAATTTGCTTGGCAAATGTATTTGACTCACAGTAAGTTTTGCAAACATAGGGACAGACAGGCAATACAAGGGGAAAAAAAAACTCAGTAAGTCCTAAATAATGAAGACCTGGTATTAACCGGAAAAAAAAAAAAAATCTCATTTAGGTAGAATCTACATCCATTTGATCATTTTCATATTTTCCTACTTATTGGGAAAGTTGCCTTGAAACTTTACGTTTGATTGTACTATCTTTGCCTTACTTTAAGAATGCCATGGATTATTGTATAATCATTGTTTTAGAAGGGAAGAGTATCCATCCATGAGAAACAAAGGCATTTCAATGTAAACACTCTTTTCTATGATTTTAGAAGAAATAAAAAGTAGAAATTACAAGCTAGATTTACTTGAAGCTAAGGTTGTTTACATGATGAACAGGCTTGACTATAGTACTGTACTGAAGGAAAAGTTATAAGCAAAAAGTCTTGGGAAGAAAGGGACACTGATTATAAACATTCAGGATTAAGACGGTCTTTTGCTAGGGAGACACGGATCCAAGAGTTACCCGAAGTTACTTACTAGTGAATAAACGTTGTTTGCAGCATCCTCATTTAATTGGCATAAAATAACTGTATCAGATGATTATTTAAATTAGAACAGGTAGATGAGTGGGTGTTCATATACCTCATGCAAATGAACCATCACTCTTACTGGGCTTGGAGATAGCTACAATGTATAAAAATGGTGATTAAAATAGAACTTTATAAAATTGTTTCCCTTTTCCCTTTAAAAAAAAGTTAACTATCTACAGAAACACAAACAAATCTTTATATTTACATCAAGGTAACTATTAATGACAAATATATAATAATATGAAATAAAATATTGAAAGTGAGTATCAACTTTTTAAATAGAGATTTGGCTCACAGCATAAACAAGTGTAGATAAACCAAAAACAAACAAAAAAAGACTTTCAATGATAGGCCCAATCCCCCCAAATCCCTCTTGAGTCCTCCCTGCCAAAAGAAACATGACAATGGGCCAGGTTGCAGACATAAGCCACCCCATCACACCCCTCATGGAATACAACAGGGTTGTCCGTGCAACTTTAGCCAACTAAAAGTCAACCTTCAACAGCCGCCAAGAATCAGGCTTTCACTATGTCAATAAATACCAAACCCTAGGTTGAAAAATTTCCCCTTCATCTCTCACCATCTATCCCAGAGTAGGTTTCTGTTTGCCTTCCTTTCTTTTTCTACCACACATTTTGCAGCAAATTAAGACATGGGAGAGCCTAGTGAAGAGTCATTTCCCAGGTCTTCTCTGACTACCTTTTAGAATTCTCACCTGATGAAAAGACCTGACTCCAGCTCCTTCTGAGGTGTTTCTGTGTAAAGAATGCCATCCCCTTCCGTGGTGAATTGATCTTAGGTGAATGACAGACATACTCACAAACAGCTCCTATACATTCATTCGGCGACTAGACTGGAAAATGCCTCAGTCTTCCGGGCTTAAGGCTGGTGACCGCAGGAGAAGCAGACCTATGGCCCTGTCCCTAATCCTGCTAATTCCCTCCGTCTGCAAAAGGGCTTCAGCTGAAGCCAAATAGAGGTGGAGACACTCCAGAGCACACTTCATCCTGTTTGTTCACCTGTGCTGAGTTGTCTGCTGCAGCCATGCTGTGAACGACCAAAGCCAATTCTCTCTTTAGGTGCACACAAACGTACATACACCTGAGCATCACTTCTATCTCACACACACACCTACAATGTTGGCAGGATGTATCAGAATTCAACCAATGCTCTGGAACTTTCATCTCTCAGGACTGAGAGCAAACGCTCCTTAGTCATAACTTCATTTGCTGTACTGTTTCTGGGCTAAGCCGCACGATCTCCTTTTGTGATTTGTTTTCCTTCATTTTTTTTTCCTTTATGATTTAGTATATCACAGTGACCACTATATATCTCAATACGAATGTTACTAAATTGTGGGGCCAGGAATCCCAGCTTTCAGAGTGTCTGTGTGTTTGCATGTGTGTCTGTGAATATGTTTTACATGGATCTACGTGAGAGCTTATATACACACACACGTATATACTTCTTCCTTCAAAAAAAAAAATCCTTGGAAGCTGGTGTTACAATGTGAAAGCTTCTCTGAGCAAGAGTTTTTTAAATCCTGTACCTCACTGTAAAAATAAACACATAAAACGCGAAGAATCCCAAAATGCGTAGCCATTTGCCCATCTTCTTGTATTTCTACAGTGTTGTGTCTAAGTGTTGTGCTGGCTTGAAAAGAGTCTGTGTGACAAGTAACTCTGTTTGGAAACATAGCTCATTCTACCCATTGTCACTGGTTTGGCTTTGGGGCTGGGGCCTGCTCTCCTTTCTGCTTCCCCTTTTCTTCATCTTCTTCCCTGATGGCCTGGATCTGTTCTGAGGGATGCTGCTGGGGGGACTGGTCCTCTATGCCCGCCAAACGCTGCTCCTCCTCAATGGCTTTCTTCCACATCTTGTGGTTCTGCAGGAGGTGCTGAGTTATTTGACAGTAGACTTTCCTCCTTTTGAAAATTTTCTTTCCTGAGAAAGCACCAAATTTGTGTGTTAAGTACATGGCAGTTTTTCCATCTTATTCATAGGAGTTAAGTACCAAATGACATGTATACACTTGACATGTGTATCATGATAATCATTTTTGAGAGTGGGGAAATAAGAGGAAGGTGGCAAGAAGCATTAATGTATCATTGAGACATACTGTGAACAGTATTTAACATCCGGTAATATTCAATACAAGGTTCTGTTTGTATCTTGGAATTATTACTCCCACCCCATTCAGGCTCTCAAGATTTCCACTTAGATTATTGGGATAATTTCTTGTCACATTGTTCTTTGCTTTGTCAACCAATTCACTTCATAAAAGCTTTTTTTTAAAAGACACTTTTGATAGTACTGTTATGCTTCCTGTGGACTAAAAAAAATTAATTTCAAACTCTTCAAGCAGCGAGCTTTGAGTCCAATGGGAAGATAGCGAGTAAGCAAATAGGGACAATTATACTGAGTTGTACAAAGTCTTTGAAACATGGCAGGAAGAGAGGGAAATGACTTAGCTGGAAGGATGTTTCATGATGGTGGTGGCTTGGACTAGGATGGGGATAATGGAAATGAAGATGCATAGGTAAATGTGAGATACATTTGTGAGGTATAATCAATAGGACTTGGCAACTGTAAGGAAAAAAGGGAGGAATCATAGACAACCCTGAGCTTTCTGATGTGAACAGGTGAGTGACAGGATGAAGGGCGAAAGTGGACAATAGGCGAGAAGTAGATTTGAGGAATATGTTGAACATGCAGGGACTGGCAAATCTCCAAGCAGAGACTTCAGGCAGCTGTTCTTGTCTAAGCAACCAGATTATAATGTGCCTTCTTTTGAGTGATCATTTTAGACACAGGCTGAGAATTTGGAAGTTAGGCAAAGATTCTCACGTTGGACTGTAAACTTCTCCATAGACAGAAGTTTTACTAGGTGAATTATGTTCTTCCTAGCTTCTGTTCCACAGCACCAAGTAAGTGGTAAAGTGTTGACATAATAAAGTGATAATAAAGGTAAGAAAAAGTGGTTCACAGGAAATTCTGATTTAAGACTATATTAAAGAGTTAACAATACAAGTTACCAGGATGATCTGTAAGCAACTTGAGGGTACTTAATGAAATAGTAATGATTTACCATGTATAATCTGGAAGGAAAAAGAAATAAATAGTAACAACAGGCAAAGCCGATGGCTATGAGATATGCAATCAACCAAAATTTTTGTGGAAATGCTGATGATTCCTTCAACAATTTTATTATACATTTTTTTCTTGTACTTTATAAAATGTTAAGATCAGTTTTAAAAACAGTTCAGAAAAAGGACATTAAGTTGCTTTTGAATGATAGAGACACATAGGGAAATTAGTTGAATGAATGACAGGAGGAATGGATACAGGTAGCCATAAAAAAGAATTAAAAAAATATTTTCTATATTATATTATTCATGATACAAATAAGCTTGTATTTACCACCTACTAACTGACAAGCAGGGCTTCTCTGGTGGCTCAGTGGTAAAGAATCCACCTGCAATGCAGGAGACACAGGAGATGAGAGTTTGATCTCTGAGTGAGAAAGGTCCCCTGGAGAAGGAAATGGCAACCCACTCCAGTATTCTTGCCTGGGAAACCCCATTGACAGAGGAGCCTGGTGGGCTACAGTCCACGGGGGTCGTAAAGAGTGGAACATGACTAGCAACTGAACACAACACACAGGAACTGATAGACAGTTTTCTGGATATTATAGAAACAAAAACCAATGAGTCTCAGAGTTTGCCTTGAAGGCGCTTACCATCTACAGGAGAGAGGGCCTAGAAGACCGAAACTGAAATACGCATGCTACATTTTATGATAGACCTATAGAGATCAAGAGAGCCTTAATGTTTCCCTCATGTTCATTAAACTTTAGATAGGTTTCTTCCAGACTCTAGGACCCAGATCTCTTTTTTTCTTAAAGCATCTACTTTATAAAACTTGTAATTGCAATTTCTTGCTCTGCTCCTACGTAGTGTAGATAAGTCTCCCAGTCTCACTAGTTTGACAACCCAGGAAACTTTTTTCTCAAGAACCTGAAAGCCAATCCTTTGAAATGCAATTATTCAGATAGACAGGGTCCCTTCCCTCACATCTCCATGGGAGGGAAGGAGCCTAACTTCAATAAGAATCAATTAACGGACACAAGTGGCCGAATCACACGGACCAACTCCCCTCTAAGGTCCTCCAGTACCTTTATTACCACCTCATCCCAGTGTGTAAAAACTCTCCCGCCTCTGTTTCAATCAGTTGAGTCTAATGTCTCCTTTCTATTACAAGAGTCCTGAAGAAAGTCTTCCTTGTCATTTTTAAGAATATGCAGCACAATTTCTCTCTGACACATCCAAGTATGGCAACATCAGATACTCAGCCTGTGAGGGAATAGATAAGACTTTTCCCAAAGGATGTGTAAATTATGAGAACGAAATATACTGGGTGAGTAAGCATTCCAGGTAAGTGACAGGCAGACGTTATGGAGTATAATATCACTTTCTTCAATTATAAGATTCTTAACAAGGGAAATAAATAAACTAAAACTTAAAACAATCTCAACTCTTTCTATAGAAACCAATAAAATATATGCATCTATTTCATATTTAAGAGTAAACCTTGAAGATTACTCTTCTACCAAAGTTATCTACTTGTCTATTTCTACATCATTTTTATTGCAGTTAAGTTCAAATCAGTTACTGTTGAGAATCTTTACATGTTAACATACTTTTTAACCTAATCCTTTGAGTCAAAATATTTACAGGTGAATCATTGGCTGAAGGATGGGCTTGAATGAGACATAGGACATACTCTACTGTTCAAGGTGATTATTCCATCTGAAAGTTATACACATTCATGGCAGTGAATTCACAGGGAAGCAGCTAACAAAAGCTCATTTTTTTCTCTTTTTCCTTTCAGGGCAGCCCCCATGAGAGCAGCTGTTCTCTTATTAAGGCTGCTCAATGTTAGCAATAAACCTCTCTGGAATTAAACTGAATAAGGTGACGTAGAAGGGAGTTTGTACCAAATAAATTTGCGTAGATTAGAGTCCGCAGGTGGTCTAAAACATGCCTGTATTGGGAGCCAAATTGTTCAGCACTGGAACCTTTTGAAATGAGAACAAAGGTCCTTTCATTGCTCAAATTCTAAATGCAGCTTAGTACTTCATTAGAAACCTCTTAGTTCACTGTAGGAATCTTTCAGATTTAATTATGATGTGGGGGAAAAAGCCGTCTTTCCCTAGGATACCATATTGAAACATTTTATTCTGTATTTCCTGAGAGATCTACAAGTTATGCAGATTGCTGAAATTATCAATGCATATTTAATTTACATTTTTTCTGAAATCTAAATTTTAGGATAAATCAAGTTAACCATCTCAGTCATTATGAATCCTGAAATTAAAATTACTAAGAATCAGTAATAATAGAGTTAAAACTGAGGAAATCTGAGTTTCACTTCTGGTTCTGCAGAAACTATATACACCTTGGGATGTCTGTTAAACTCCTGAGCCTCAGTGTAGAGTTTTGTAAAATGAGGCAGCTGAACTGGGTGGTCACCAACTCCATTTCTAGAATTCCATGTGGCCAAATTTTACTAAACACTACTGCTGTTCAATATTTATCATTTTCTTGGCTATAATAGGAAACTTCAAAGGTAATTTTTCAAAAGCTATGGTTATCAAATCATTGTTGATGATGTCTTGAATTTTAATGTAAGGTGTCCAGTAGACATTTAGAAACGATTAGTAAACGGAATCCACAGAATTCTCATTCCCGCTTTAGTGAGCATGATGAAAAAGGGAATGTCAGGAGAGTAACACATTAGAATCTGGGAGTCAGTATGGCCACCCAACTCTACAGAATAGAGACAAAATGAATATTTAGCATTTGCTACTAAAGCCAATATTGACCGGTTGAGCCTGTTGAATTTCCTAACCTAGGTTCTTTAATTCTTGATGCATAGATTACGTGTGTGTTGTTTCAATGTATTTGAGTTCAAATAGCAATCAGGTAGGGCCCATGGGAACAAAGCTTTTCCAGAGGCTAAGCTGACCACACTTTTCAATTACAGTGGAAAAACTGCCCAGTCCTTAGTCAGACAGCAAATTACCTGGCTCTCTGAGTGATAAAGAAAATTATGCATGTTTATTAAGTGAGAAAATGAATAAATAATCCATGAATCCTATCTTGACTCCTAACTCTGAATGCCAAGGTCAGCACAGAATTTTTAATAGAAATCTTTTTATAAGCATCAGAGGAATAAAATAAAATTACCTTGAGAATAGAATACTGGAGAAAAACAACATCTGGTTTTCCTCTCATTTTGTATCAACATTAATATATGGGTAAGAACTGAAGCAAAAATCTGACCAAAAACCAAATTTGCTCCTCTTTACCCAGCCTATGGTTAATAATGAGTTCTTTTTCTCTGCTTATGTGAGCTTACAACAGGGCACTTACATGAGGGTGAAATAGGTTAATATCCACATTAGACTATCTCTTTACTAGATGGCCAAAATGAACTATGTCATGCATTTTCCTGACTGCTAAAAAACAGGAACAAATGATCATGGTGTCTTTCACTGGTAATATTTTTGGGAAGGGCTTCGAAAACTACCAATAGTAAGATCGTGTTTGATGAAGGTAGGTAGAAACTGCATACTATATTTCCATGAAAACAGGAACAGTATTTGTGCAATGTCACTATAAAGGTTATTGGTTTTCCTAATTATCCTTGTCCCTATGGCAGGAGTAACAGCAGAGAATATTTCAAGAAATGAAGAGATCGGAATGGCTGTATGAAACACTGCGAAACCAATGACCAGATGTGACCACTTCTCATTGTCTCTACTCTCACTGCCCTGGCCCAATGCCTCAGTCATCTCTCACTTGGATGATTTCAAGAGCCTCTTAACACATTGCCCTGCTTACACCCTTGCTCACCCCAAACTCCAGAAGATTTTCCATGCAATAGTTGAAGCAATCAAGTTAAAATGTTAAGTTGAATCAACTAAGTCTTCTGTTCAAAACCTCTGATGGCTTCCCAGCTTATTCAGAGAAAAAGCCAAACTCCATTCTGCAGAGCCCTACCTTCTAACCCTCTATCACCTGGGTCCCCACTGTCTCCCCCTGCTGCTCCCCGCCCTCTTCCTCTGCTTCAGCCTCCCAGTCTTCCTGGTGCTTCCTGAACACCCAGCCAATGCCCACAGCAGAACCTTGCGTGGCTGGCTTTCCTCTCTCCTTGAAATGATTTGTCCACAACTATTTCCATGGATCACTCCCTTGCTTCTTTCAAAGTTTTGGTTTTTTTAAAATACCTTTCTTATTTAGACCTTCCATGGCTATCTTGTCTATGATTTTAATCTTTCTGTGCAATATTTCATATTCTCTTTAACTCTAGCATTTATCAGTATCTAACATATTATAGATTTACTGATTAGTCTTCCCTAGTGTCTGCTGACCCCATTGGAAATACAAGTCAAAAAGGGCAAGGACTGAATGATTTTTTTTTTTTTTTGGTCTGATTTGTCCATGGTTCTATGTTAGGTACCTGGAAAAATGCCTGGCACAGAGTAGGTGCTTAATAAACATTTGATGAGTGACTGATTATTACCTCTTACCACTTCAGCATCTCTTCCCAACCAAATCAGTAAAAGCCTATGTTGGTCTAGATGGTACCTGAGATTCCTTTCACTGCTAACTCATTAAGATACTCTGAAAAATAGACTTTGGCTACTTATTATTTTTTTTAATTCATGACAGAGAACATATTTTGTATGAACATGATATTATAGTAATTATATATAATATAGATATTATATCTATTATATATATTATAGATATTATAATAATCTGTAATTTCCATTATGATGATCATATTTGGGAAGGGGGGAGTATCCATAATCCATGCAGTAGACGATGTGAGGACTCAACTAGGTAACTCGTGAGAAGCATCAACTTTACCAGAACCTAAGTAAGAAAACAGTCCTAGGAGAAACACATTCGAGAAAGATTCTATGACTTACTTGGAGATTCTTTATTTTCACAGGTTTCCTCTTCATTTGGTGCTTCTTCCTCCTCCTCTTCTGGGTCATCCGTGTCTCCTGACTCATCACTGTCTTCCACCCATTTCCCTGGCATGAGTCCTGCTGAATCGTAGGAGTTGCACAGAGGACCCACGATGTGCGAGATGAAGGATTCCTGAAGGTTGGCCAGCTGAGGAGCAGAACGGTCCATGAAGGGGCTTATTGGTAACCCAAGGCTGGCCTCTTCATCACCCTGGAAATAGCAATGTAGCAACACGGTTAACTAGACAGGCACAAGGAAAGGATAAAGTACAAATTAAGCCACCATTCACCCGGCATCGAAAATGTGCAAATATGCAAGAACCTGGGCATTGATGTGTGAACTCTCTCTGTCCTTGACTGCTAAAAGATTTTACCCAAATCACTAAGATTCCTGAGTGACTGAAGTCACTGTCGTGTCCGACTCTTTGCGACCCTGTGGACTGCGGCCCACCAGGCTCCTCTGTCCATGGGATTCTTCAGGCAAGAATACTGGAGAGGGTTGCCATTTGCTTCTCCAGGGGATCTTCCTGACCCAGGGATCGAACCTGGGTCTCCTGCATTGCAGGCAGACGCTTTAACCTCTGAGCCACCAGGGAAGCCCCACTAAGTTTCCTATAGGACTGCTTTGTTGCTACTTACTCTTTGGTAATCTTGAGGGTTAGGTTTTCGATCAGGGGAACTACCAGAAATGGTTTATGTCTCAGTAGATGGTCTCTGTCATCACACTAGTCACTGTTCCTTATATTAGAGTGTAAGTTAGAATGTAAATGCATATTAAAAGGCAATGCTGGACATAAATATCTACCAGATAATCTATCTTGTTTGCCTTTTTTTTGTCTTGTATGCTAGAAAGTTTAAAATAACTTATTCCTCAATTAAAGTTAATAGTTAATAGTTTATCCCAATTTTGGGTTGAATTATGTCTTCTGTGATTATAGTTTGTGATATTATTTTTCTATGTTTAATAGTGCCACTGTATAAGTACTACTGTGTAAGTGTTTTTATGTTGAACTAATTCATCTTTCAGAAAAAAAGTCAGATTGAAATCCCAAAATTACCTAGCAACATTAATGAAGGAATTATACCAAAATATCATCAATGGTTATGCCTATATATATAATGGAATTATTACAAGTTTCTTTTCTTTACATTTTATCTATAGTCAATATTTCAGGACTATCAATTAGTTCCAAGAAAACACAATCTTTTCTAGAAAGTATAAACCTTTTTTTTAATGAGTCCTATCTATAATACTCAAAAAAATTCTTTCTTTAAATATGTTTGGTGAAAGGTGATTTATTACTTACTAAGGGGCCTCATCTTATTTCTGGATGACTTTGGGAATACAAATTTCTTTTTGACATTGACCTAAAATCTATCTCCTTATAACTTCTATAGATTGGCTATAGTCATGTCTATTTTTAGGGAAGTTTTTTTTTTTTTTTAATAAAGCAAATCCTGTGGTATCTTATATAATTTATCTTCTTTAAGCTGTACAACATCATGATAAACCTAATCCTAAACTTGTATGTCAGTCTTTTAAGTATCTAAAGAGAGTTATTGCCTCTGTTTTTCCTTAGGGTACATATTTGTACTTCTTTCCTGGCCTTTAGGTCACTACTGATGCCTGTCATTTACCCATTTCTACTACCTCGAGATTCCTCTTATGAGAGACATTTACAGCACCAAACACAAGGTTTCAAGTATGGTTGGGGTAAGGTCATGTGGGGAAGATCCCTTCATGTTCTGTTGGTAATGTGTCAAATAAAATGCTACTTTTATTAGCTTTTTCATGTACTGCTGTTATAAACTATTAGAAAAGTAAATGAACTTAATTTGATATACATTCATCCATACAAATTTAAACCTAGCTTCTATTATGATAAAATTGATGAGTATTTCAATGGGATTCCTAATATTTTCTGAGGTCATTCCACTATCTTAACACCTTTTCCCATCAAAATACTTAATAACTTTACCTTAAGAGTTTTACGTTTATAGTTAGTTAAGTCGCTCAGTCGTGTCCGACTCTGTGTGACCCTATGGACTGTAGCCCACCAGGCTCCTCTGTCCATGGGATTCTCCAGACAAGAATACTGGAGTGGGTTGCCATTTCCTTCTCCAGGGGATCTTCCAGTCCCAGGAATCGAACCCAGGTCTCCTGCAATGCAGGCAGACACTTCAACCTCTGAGCCACCAGGGTTTAGTTCAATTTTTGTCATTTTTTTAAACCTCAGATTAAATTTGGCCAGTGCCTTTTCTCATGGTATCATGAATATAAAATGACTAATCACACTTTTACAGCCTTTGGAAACTTTAGAGCAGGGGTCCCCAACCTCTAGGATCAAATGCTTGATGATCTGAGGTGGAGCACATGAAATAATAATAGAAATAAAGTGCATGATAAATGTAATGTTCTTGAGTCATCCTGAAATCAATCCACTACCCTATCTGTGGAAAAATGGTCTTCCATGAAACCAGTCTCTGGTGCCCAATAGGTTGGGGATTGCTGCTTTAGGGAATCTATAAGCAGCCTCAATATGGATTAAGAAAAATAGTTAAATTAGTTACCTGTTCATAAAATTCATTGACAATACCCTCTGTCCACTGAAGATGGAGCTCTTTACTCTTAGCTGGCCCATTGATATCAGCCAACTTTATACACATTTGACAAACCAGTAGACGATCATTTTCATTGGTCCAATCTATTCCAACTTCATCATTCACCTGTTTGAAGGACAAAGTTTAAATGAATGCACAAGTTGAACGGGAAAATAAATCACAGAATTCTGATCACCTTGTTACTATGTATTCTGATCTGTCTACCATGTGCAGATAGGAATACCAGGTAATGAGAAACATCTCAGCTGTTTCAAATAACGTTATTTGGCTTGTATAAATTAGTAGTGGAATAGCTCACCTAAAAAAAATAATAACAAATGATGGATCATTATGGAATTGAAAATAATTGCTATTTAATACTAGCATGTGTTATAAATTACTATTAAAATACTGTAGCTACAAATAATAAGAAAATTTCTTGAGTTACTATTTGAGCATTTATTATATGTTTGATGTATTAAATTCTGCTTCAGGTTTTTGACCATTACTACTACCAGGTAATTAGTATTCCACAGAGATGAGAGCAAAAAAAAAATAAAACAAAATCACAATGATAGTTAGAGTTCTATTATTCTTCTGCAGTACAAGGTATAATATATACCAACAGGACCTCAATATATTAGGTTTCCAGATTGGGCCCAATGCCTAAATAACTGCTTCTGGTTTAACACTGCATTGCATTTCATTTTCACATTCGATATGTATGAGGTGGCAGCAATGAGTTTTGTTTAACACTCTCATTCCATGACATCTTTCAATGTGGCCAGAAAATGAGGACTGGTACAAATCTAGTTACCTTGGCATTAAATTTGGCAACAAAGTCGAAGTGCTTCTTCAGGTCAGTGGCCAGAATTGCTTCAATGACAAGGAAACGGAAATGCTTAAATTCCACGTGGTCAAGGTTAACTAAGAAGTTATAATCTGGCCGGGACATGAACAGGTTCCATGCGGCAGCCGCGTGATGATTCTCCAGGACTGAGCGATCATTGTAGAGCACCGCCTAGGCAAAGATGAGAGTCAGGAGTTCAGCTTTTTAAATTAGAAACAAAAATAAATGAGAATGTGCAAAACATTTGGAATCATCTTTTACCATAGAACATAGAAATACAACGTTGTGACAGCAAGCTATTAAGAATTACTTATTACTGTACATTGTTTACTTTTCTTGGTTATTTTTTCTTTTTTTGGTAAGATAAAGTTCATTTCTTTGAAATTTTATTTCAAATTCTTGTAAGCGAAGGGCAGACTTAGCTTATTTCAGATTACTCTTTTTTCAAAACACAGGAATTTAACCATAAAAATATGAAGATATATTAATATCCCTAAGAGGTAACTCAGTTATCGCCCACATCTAAAATAAGAATGACTTTCTTTTAATTAAACACATGTAACTAATAAAGAGGGATGATATCCCTGAGAAGCTCATAATTCAAAATATTCTTACCTCACAATCAGTCATAGGAAATATTACCCTCTGTCTAGTAATTGAAAGTATATAGTAAATATCTACTTGTTTGAATAATGCTGAGGGAAGCTGTGAAGGAAAAGAAAGTTGCCTAAAAAAATGCCTGAAGTCTAGTGTGGCAGATTGATGATGGAAGGAAAAAAAGGTATAATGACAAAAAGGAAAAACCAAACACATGAAAATTAATCTTGAGGTAAATGAAAATTCATGGACACGTAGGAAAACTGAATGGTAAAATGTGCTGGCCAAAGGATATGCTTATATTTAGGGAAAATATATAGTGTATGGAGGAAACAGTGAAAGAAATGTAAGTAGTCAGAAAAAAATCAGGATATTTGTACTGTATACAGATGAAAGGAAAATTACTTAAAGGAAATTAATTTTAATTAACTAAAGGAACACTCTAGGCTAGTCTATAAGAGAGAGTGTGGAAACAGATAAAAATAGATGAGAAGAGAGTAAAAGACAAAAAGCAAACATGACAAAAGTAATGGATCAGATAAGTCTCTAGAGCCTCTAGAAAGAAAAATAAGATCATGGGATCTTTAGTAAAATAGGTCCATCCATCTGATTAAACCAAAGTTTAATTATATAGATGGAGATTCCTAAATACTTAGTGACTGATATTTGACTTAAATTTAAGCACATGACCAGAGTAACTTCTTTAAAGTTACTGTTTTTGAACTTACTGTTTTTGTCAGGTAAAAAATTTACCTCGAATAAAATAAATCAATCTTTAATTCTTCCTAATCAATAAAGATGCCATGAAAATGATATTTCTTATAATGTATCTCAAAGGAACTGCATTTATATCCAAAGAAGCCTCTAATTCTTAAAGAACCAAGAAAGATTTGGTTCTCCAATCTTTTCAGAAAGAAAACTTTTGTATAGGTCAGATATTCTTTATTGAGGAAATTCATTAACATGAATTCAAGCAGTTTTTCTTTCTCGAAAACTGAGAAAGGCTCTCCATAGGTGATAAATGTAGACCTATCATTAATAACTTAGAACAAACCATCATATATTTTCAAAATGAGCATGGTCTCTAAGAATTTTATCTCAGGTCTAAATATAGTTTGTTCATATTCGCTTGGTCAATTCACTTGGCCTCCTATAAGTCGAATTTATAAAATTAATGTTCTTCAGAGAAACCTCAAAATTGAACTACTTTCCCGGGCAAAATCGAAAGGTTTACCTGAGGGGCGCTCGTTGCAACCAGGAAAGCATTAGTCCTTCCTGGGTGATCATAGTCATGCATGGCTGCAGCCACATACAAGGCCATCAACTCCAAGGCAGGGATATTTCCAGACAAACATCCATATTTATCATCAGGCACATTATACATTTTTGAGAATACATATCCCATATGGCCATGTGTAAATCCACTGTCAGAATCTGAGAAGAGACGATGAAAATAATATAGCTTTGAAGAAAGTAGTAAACTGATATCAGTTATGCTCACTTACTTATTTACAAAGCCACTCTTCCGTTCCCATAGTTTACAATGGAGCACAGAGAACTTAATATGTACCTGAATCGCTTGCTGATCCGTGATCATTAATCACAGTTGAAAGGCCTGGAATAGGTTGTGTCGTGAGATACCAAACAGCATGTAAGACATCAGTGGCATGGATTCTGTTGTGGTCTGTAACCAATGCAAAGGACAGGCATTCATCTGTGAACTCTGGGGTCCAAGGACTAAGAGTGCCACCTACTGGACAAACGGTTTAGTCCTCACGTTTAAATAACCTGGGTGAAAGACGGCCAAACATTCTAGAACAAATACTCTGTGATTCCTCTTCCATTTCTCTATAATATTCATAGTAACAAGAAAAAAAAAAAAAGCTTACAACATTCATCACACACGCAGATGTCTGAAATGAACAAAATCTGTGTCCAGCATCCACCAAACATAAATTTCACTAAATAACCCAACATATATAAACTCACTGTGCGAATCCAATGCAATGTTTACTCTTGTCCTTATGCCCATGTTCCTGTGTAAAACTATGCAGAGGACTAGAACAAAAGACCCATGATACACTTAACCTAGGTCAGACCAATGGTCCATACCACCCAGTGTTGCATCTCTGATAAACAGCACTCAAATATAACCTGTGAATTGAAAATAGTGTTATTCTTCTGTATCAAACTTAAAAATGTAAGAAAATGAGTAATGTTTTTTACATGTATTAATAGATAAAATCCACAAAGCAAATCGAAACCAAAATCAATAATGTTCTCTGATCTAGAAATTCTGGTTTGGGATTAAAGTTCCAGGAAATACAGAAAGAGAAAAAATTAAAACCTCTTAGTACAATAACATAAGGGGTTGAGCCATCCCGAAGTGTATAAATCTACAGGGCAACCAAACCCCCCAGTTAAAATGCCCTTATCGTAGGAATGGGGCTATATTTCTACACGTGTGGTCTAGCCTCTATGGAACCATGACCAAAGGCCCAGTGTGTTCCTGGCTCACCTTCTTTCTCAGTCCATTTTTTTCCATGTTTTTCTCTTATCTGGCCCTTCAGAATACTTCACTGATTTGGTATGCTTTATTCTAAGTATGCTAGCTTCATACATTTTATTCCTAATGACCAACCATGATATGATTTCCTTCTATAAGGTAATAGATGACATCTGTGAATAGCACTCAACAGATGCTGCTGCTAAGTCACTTCAGTCGTGTCCGACTCTGTGTGACCCCATAGATGGCAGCCCACCAAGCTCCCCCGTCCCTGGGATTCTCCAGGCAAGAACACTGGAGTGGGTTGCCATTTCCTTCTCCAATGTGTGATAGTGAAAAGTGAAAGTGAATTCGCTCAGTCGTGTCCGACCCTTAGCGATGCCACGGACCGCAGCCTACCAGGCTCCTCCATCCAAGGGATTTTCCAGGCAAGAGTACTGGAGTGGGATGCAATTGCCTTCTCCAACTCAACAGATGAGGAGAAGCAAAACAGAAGAGAACAAGCAGAATCATAATGAAAATTTGAGAGGAACACCTGTTCTCCGATCAGGGAAGAAAACAGAAATTAGGACACCTGTGGTGTTGGCAGCACACAGGAGCACGTAGGAAGATGGTGTGTGTTTTCCTACATGTCTGGCAACTTTAAGTGAAGACACATTGGTAAATCTTGGGTAAAAACTCCAGAAACTCAGTGAAGGGTTCAGGGAGGTCTTGAGAGGATGTTTTCAGAAGAGCTTTGAGAAGCAGACCTCCTAGGTTCTGGAGCAGTAAACAGCAAAGCTTGTTCACTGTATCATTGCCAAAGGTGAACACTGATATTACCTAGTCTCCAAAGAACACTTCTATTCAAACTGGGGTCTCTATCTCCATGTATGGACTATCCCAAATGATTTAAGACAATTACATTTAAAACCTCTATCTGTACCAGTGTACAAAGCTGATCATGCTAGAAGTCTCAGGGTCTAGGACATACCTATCTCTGCTCTGACATTTATTACCTGTGTTACTGAGTCATTTAAAACATTGTCTCATTTCCTTATCTTAAAACCATGGAGACAATAATAGTGCCTATTTCATAGTACAACTTTGAGAATTACAGAAGGGGACCTTTTTTAAAGTGGCTGCTGTATAGTAAGCTTGTGATTGATGTAAATATCATTCACCTAAAATACATGATGAAATGGTTGGATGGAATCACCGACTTCACGGACATGAGTTTGAGCAAGTTCCGGGAGTTGGTGATAAACAGGGAGGCCTGGCTTGCTTGTAGTCCATGGGGTCACAGAGAGTCATATACGACTGAGTGACTTTATGGAACTGAACTGAAAATACATGATTGCTTTTACAACACAATGATGAGTTAGTGCAGATTACCAGTTTCCTTTCAAAAATCAATGCCGGACTTGTAAAAATAGAATTGAAGAGCTAAAATAAAAGCTAAGCTAAGCCATGGAGGAGGGAGAAGGCAGTGATGACCCACCAGAAGAACATGCAACCTGGTCAGAGGGTTTCCGGGGCTATGTTGGAAGAGAGTTTCTGGGTTAAGTTCTTTACTCTTCCCCTGTGACAAGCTGGGAAAATTGCTGTGTGATGTAAGTACCATTACTACTACAAGTCAGAGAAACCTGTGCTTGCACCCAGCATTACAAGGTGGGTGGAAGCGGTATCAGGGTATTGACTGTGTCTCTTTGGGGTGAAAAATAGACAATACCAAGTCAGGTATTGTCTTGTAGCTCTTGAGTTATACTGCTTCCTGGCCTGTCCCGCATCCCAAGGTCCAAGTCCAGAAGATTTTATAGGTTATTTGTGTGTGTGTGTGTGTGTGTGCTTAGTCACTCAGTTGTGTCCAATTCTTTGTGACCCTATGGACTGTAGTCCACCAGGCCCCTTTTTCCATGGAATTCTCCAGGCAAGAATACTGGAGTGGGTTGCCCTCCTCCAGGGGATCATCCTGACCAGGGATCGAACCCATGTCTCTTAGGTCTCCTGCATTGGCAGGCAGGTTCTTTACCACTAGTGCCACTTGGGAAGCCCAAAATTTCAATGAACAAACTATCTAAATAATTTAGTGCTGAAAATGTAAAGAAAAGAAAGCTTGGCAAACACATTTTTTTGAGGTTAGTATAACCATTTTGGAGCTTCCGTGGTGGCTCAGATGGTAAAGAATCTGCCTGCAATGCAGGGGACCCAGGTTTGATCCCTGGGTCAGGAAGATCCCCTGGAAAAGAAAATGACAACTCACTCCAGTATTTTGGCTTAGAGAATTCAGTGGACAGAAGAGCCTGGTGGGCTTCAGTCTATGGGGTCTCAAGAGTCAGACATGACTGAGCAACCAACACCTAACTTAGTTTATAATCATTTTAAGTAGATACACGTATATGTATAACGGAATCACTTTGCTGTACATCTGAAATTGACACATTGTTAATTGATTCTACTCCAACATAAAATAAAAGGTAAAAGTTTTTTTCTATGTATGTTTTGCTTTTTAGAGATTAACATAATCTTGATTTAAAAACTAGGTATAAGAGTATATGGGGGGAAAACCCTCCTTTTGCTTTTGAGTATAGGTTCACAAGTGCTAAAGAAAACAATAGCTAAACAAACCTAACTCCTTTAATATATATAACATATATTTATATAGATACAGTTATGCAGGTGTAACTCTAAAAGGATTACATTGTCACTATCACTTAAGCAGGATGGAAAAATTATCTGCCTTTAAGAAGTCATTAAGATATTTATTAAACACATACTCAAACCTATTATGAGAAAATATTGTGCCGAATGCTGGTGGCACTGTTGCTTTTGCCATTAATTCTTTGGGGACCAACTCAGGTGTAAAGACACCTGAGTCAACATAGGGGATTGAGAAATTTCTATAAGACAGACAAATATGCGCAAAGACTGCTCTTCTTTTTTTGGCCTTGATAGGCAACTGACAGAACTAAGGGATAAAATCAGAGTGATCCTTATTTTATCATTATTATTCTCATCCTCTTCCTTCATCTCTGCATTTTGGACAAATCTCTTAATAATTCTCTCACCCACCTGGCAAACACCCACCCCCCACCCCCACCTCTTGGACAACACATAAACACACGTGCACATACTAATAACATCACCCGCCTTCCCATTTCCCAGAACCTGCCTAATCCCTCTTCTGTCTAAATAGACTTGTTTTCTCTTTTTCTCCTTTTCCTCAAGCACAGGGTTGAAATAAGCTGCTATGGAAGGCTGAGGTTGCATATAAAATTTATAGGTTTTTTAGAACTCAATTTACAGATTTTCTATTTAAAGTTCTCTATGCTCCTATTCACCAATGAATGAAGCAAAGTACTAAAGAATAGAAATTAGACTTGAAACACTCTTTTCCCCACCTTTGGAAAGGAGCTAATAGTGTAACAGTTCTGCCCTTCTAGCTTGTTCCATGGCACCTCAGTGTCTACCTTTAAAATCGATGGGCACATCACAGACAGCTTAATCAAACTGAACTAAACAAAGGTGGTGCTGTCTGGGCTCAGTCACGCCTGACTCTGGGCCACCCCATGGACGGTAGCCCGCCAGGGGACCTTCCCAACCCAGGGTTCTAACCCACAGTCAATGTCTCCTGTTCTGGCAGGTGGGTCCTTTAGCAAAGGTTCTGGGCATAAATTTACAAGCTTTCATACTTTCCCTCTTCTCTTGGCAATTGTTAAAAAGTGTAATTAAAACTGTAGTAAAATTTTAGTTTCTAACAGTTTAGCTCATTGTCATATTAAGGCTAATCTAGCCCTATTTTGGTTACCTTTAGGCTTTTTTTTGTTTAGGGTTTATACAGAGATATTAGAAACATAGTTCTCTAGGAATAAATGTTAAATTTTTGCACATGTTAATTTTAAATAATGATAAATACAGCTTTTAATAAATATCCATCTTGGTCTAAATGTATAACCTTATAACATGCATGGTATTATGATTTAAAAGTGATCATGAATTAAGTTAAAACTTCTCTGTGAGAATATGTGAATAAATTCCCTTTCATGTCTAACAGAACAAGCAAAGATATAACAAATTCTTTTCACATGGAATGAAGAACCTGGTATTCCAGGAAAAATATCTGGTTACTTGCAATATATAAATAGGTAATAATAAAATTTAGAATCTGCAAACTTTTTACACTTGAAGAAATACTGGTCAACTTTATGAGTTAATAGAATACTATCTAGAGAAAAGTTGAAAGACAGAGACTTGAACTCAGTGGAGCCTGGCAATAGCTGATTATATTATATGGAAATTTAATATTAGTATTATTTATAAACTTAAATTTAATTTTCAATTAATATTATTTGTAAATTTAGTCTGATGACTAGCTATTCTTCAGTGTTTGCAGTGGCTTCCTTTTTGTAAAAGCTTATTTATGTAATTCCTTAAGCTTCGAGAAATCACTAACACTTAGGTCAATCCCTGGCATTCAACCAGGGTAGCCCTGGGAAAATGGTATTTAAAAAAGCAAGGCTTATCTTAAGATCCTTTCAAACTACCCTTTTTTCATATCTCTGTCTCCACTTCCATGGCCCCATCTGCCAGACTTTCCCACGGTGCCCAGAGTGCTTAAATTCCCCTCTCTACGTCCTATTTTGTCTGCATTTAGTCCCATATTCTCCCACAAATATCATTTGTAGATTTAATCTTGATTCTCCTTTTCTACCACACAACTTGTAAATTCAATAACTCATTCCTCTTTTCTATCACACAACATCAACTGTGCATTTTTATCCTAACGTAGCATGTGATGGCATTTTCAAGACCAGCATCTTAATAATGGATCACTTGGTTAATGCACTACCCTACCCCTTCTGAACACACTTGTACTAGTCTCTGTTCAGCTTTTACTTAAGCTCTCTGCTACTAGAAACAGACATGAGTTCTGGGGTTCTAAAGTTCAAAGTAGGTAAAAGCAAATTTAGAAACTTAAAAGTTAAAATGTGATTTAAGTAACACAAGCTCTAGTCAACATATTATATTTAACTATTTTTTCTATGTATTTATTTCTAAAGTTCCATGTGATTTCTGTATACTTCTGATTAGATTTACAGCCATTTCTCCAGTTTCATATATTTTGTAGCATGTAGGACAATGCTACTTACATGTTCTGATAATATAGAAATGCCACATATTGAAAATTTACTATCTCTTCTGTGTTCAAGTTCCTCATGATTACAAAGGACAGATTTATTCTCGCAATATTCAAAGTTCATAAGCTTGAACCCTTGGTTGTGTCTTATCCTTTGGTCTTCACATTTTATCTTGATTTTTTAAAAAGTTCCTAATAATTTCTCCAAAACCACTTCCAGTTGCCTTTTCTTTTTCTGTTTTATTCATTAGACCATCATCTTCCTGTCCCTCTATTCCCAGCTAGGTTTATCTTGTACTGAAAAACTTTAATTGTGAGTTAACTTGGCAGATGCTAGAGCAAAGGTTGAGAATTCTACCCAGCAAGAGGAGTATGTTATAAAATGAGCAATAAATTAACATGTATTTATTTAGTACACACTTAAATTGGAGCTACTTATGTGCAAGGTACTATTATTACCCTTTAACAATTATTATGTCACTTTATCCTTGCAACAATCCTATGAAGTAGTTATTATTATATCCATTTTACAGATTAAGAAATGAGGCATTTAGAGGTTAATTAAGACCAGGGTGTCCTATAGCTGATTTGTAAAGGGACCAGGATGCTAACATAAACTACTATCTCCTAATCACTACACCAGGTGACCATATAGGATGCTTACAATGTGTAATTCTGTGCTAGCTCTTAATTCAATATCCCATTACCCATAGCAAATTTAATGGATTTCAAAAGTATTAATTCTTCTACTTACAAGGAATTTCCCTGTAGCCAGTCTCCAAAGCATGAAAATAATTCATGAATTCCCTAACTGGAATTTTAAAAGCTTCAAAGAGGCCCATGTCTTCAAAAAGTCTGTATGATACCTGTAAAAGTAAAAGTCAAGGTCTTACAAAACATCCCTTGATGTGTATTAGACAGAAAGAGAAAAATGGGGAGAAAAGTATACATTCAATCAACCATATTAATGTATTGCCTATAGAAATCCTTACTGGAAACAACAGACCAAATAGATACTGAAGACTTCCATGTCCTAGCCCTCTATATAATCTATTTTTAAAGGTAGAGACATAAACCCAAGAAACAGCCAATGAGAAAATCCAGTATACACTAAAGATATATAACAAGGTACTAAATTGTGTGTGATATCAATAATAAGAGAATGATACTGAGTAAATTGCTAATCATATAATATATGTGCTAAATAAAGAATGAGACAAAGCTTTCATCTGGATGAATTTTATAAATTACAAAAAGCTTTCTAGAGGATAAAGAACTGTGCCTTAATGAAGAATAAGGGAATAGAATTACAAGAAAGAAAAGGTTGTCTTGACTGAAATATATAGAGAAAAAAAATTTTTTTCTAATCCAGTATAAATAAAAATTTTTGAACTATTTTTCCTCATTTGCCATCTCTCTCCTTTGAATATCTATTCTCCTTCTAATTATTTTCATAGCTCTAGAGACTCAAATCAACTAAATATCTTTGGATGTGACTGGTATCTTTGATATGCAAATTGTGGAGAATGAAAAAAAAATGATAAAGGCACAGAAGAGAGTAATTGGAGAGAAATGGTTACTCACATGGCAGGGTGGAGAGCAGAACCATTTATAGTGACCTCACTTTTATCTTTAAAGTACAATGTGTAAGTCAATGATATTTCAATACAAATTTTTAAAAAAGTGGTCTCACTTTATGTCACAAAGGCACAGTACTGGTTATAATTCAGGAGACTTTGAGAAAGAATTATTTATCCTTTCATTTATTTGTATTCTTGCTTAAAATTCTCAAACTACTTCTAAATGTTTAATAACTTCATAGTTAAATTTCTATTTCCATTATGAACTTTACATCTACTCAAGTTCACTAATATTCTTTTATTTAGATATTTACTTTCCATCAATATCATATATTATGTTTATATTTGTGTACATACATACATACACATTTATGGGACTTCCCTGGTGATTCAGACAGTAAAGAATCTGTCTGCAATGCAGGAGACCCCAGTTCGAATCCTGGGTCAGGGAAGATTCCCTGAATAAGGGAATAGCAACACACTCCAGTATTCTTGTCTGGAAAATTCCAGTGACAGAGGAGCCTGGTGAGCTACAGTCCATGGGGTCACAAAGAGTTGGACGTGACTGAGTGACTAACACACACATACACATTTATATATAACTAAAAAAAGGGATTTATTCATTCAGCATATGTCTATTCAGTGTCTCCTTCTGTTTAAGACAATTTCCATATATAATGCATATTTATGCATACATATATGTATATACATTTATATATAACTAAAAAAAGGGATTTATTCATTCAGCGTATGTCTATTGAGTGTCTCCTTCTGTTTAAGACAATTTCCATATATAATGCATATTTTTACATACATATATGTATATACATATACACATACATGCATGTATACACATACATATATACATACATGTATACTCACATATACACATGTATGTATACACACATATATACATACATACATGTATATACACACATACATATATGTATGTGTGTATATATATATATATATGTATATATATGAAAAAACAAGGACGCTTTCCTTAAAAGAATTTATGGGCCAGCTGGTGAGGGCAGCAAACTATAGGCATAATTAATAAGGCACACTCTCTGAGCTTCCTGAGTGGCTCACTCTGCAATGCAGGAGACCACCTGCAGCACAGGAGATGTGGGTTCGATCCCTGGGTCTGGAAGATCCCCTGGAGAAGGAAATGGCACCCCATTCCAGTATTCTTGCCTGCAAAATCCCATGGACAGAGGAGCCTGGTGGGCTATATTCCATGGGGTCACAAGAGCCGGACAGAACATAGTGACCAAACCACCACCACACTATGACTGAAAGGGATGTTATGTGATAAAAGAAAAAGGGAAGCAGGAATAGAGCTTTGAGTTCAGGAGGACATGGCAATTGCTGTTTTAAATATGGTGGTTAGAAGAGGCATATTCAGGTGAGTTTCAGCAAATAATTGAAGGAGACGCAGAGTGTGGTATAGGAATATCTGAGGGAAGTTTTCTAAGTAGAAGAGAAAGATGGTGCAAAGGCCCTGAGGCATGTCTGCTATACTCACAAAACAGCAAGAAGACCAACATGGTCAAAACAGAATGAATGAGGACAGGAGTAAAACTTAAGTTAATGACTATAGAGGGGTATTGACTGGGTTGCAATCTGTTTCACAGCCAGATTGACCAGTGTTAGGACTTTTATACTGAGTGAGGCAGGGAACGTTTGAAGCATTGAAGCAGGGAAGGTGTCTTTATTTGACTTATGTTTTCAAAGGCACACTGTGGCTGCCCATTGGGAATAGAGTATGTGTATTATTTACACGTGCTTTTTTCACTTTGAAAAAACTATACAGGCCGGTGTACTTAATTTTGCCCCTTTTTCTGTGTTACATAACATCTCCACCTCCTCTCTTTAAAAATGCAATAGAAAGTTAAGTTTGTGGCTTCTGTCATATTTCGTAGTTCTGCCAGTTATTTTCTTCTTATTATTGCTTTAAGCTATATTTGAGTTCTTGTTTATAAATACTCAGTGGATTTAACTATACATGTTACTGCAAAAAAATTATTTATAATAGCAGCAGTTATTGACACACACATATACTTACTATTTTGTACAGATATATATGGAATTTAATAAGTTTGATGCCTCCTCCAAGTAGTTTACATATATTACTTACTTATAGTAATTAATCTATGTAGCATCTAATGAGACAGACACTGTTACTTATTACACTTGAAAGCAGAGGACTCTAAGGCACAGAGAAGTTGAATGACTTGTAAAACATCACACAGCTGACACCTTATCAGACCAGAGCTCAAGTCCAGCATTATGGCTTCAGACCGTGTGCTCTTAACTGTTTCATATCCTATCACTATTATTTGAAAAGCAATATTGTTAGGACTGTAAATGACTAAAGTTTCCTATTATTTTCTTTAAATATTTGAAAGATGAATTGAAAAATTCAGACAAGATATTTTTAGGGTATGATTTTCAAATAGGAAAATTTTCGCCAAGAAGCTGTTAGAAATCAACAGGCAATGATCCAAACTCATAAATAAAGAAAAGTCACTGTTAACTGGGTAAATATTGGTAACTAAAAAAAGTAAATACTCTTCCCAAATCTGAATGATGTCCTTTTAAATTTGTTAAAATAAACATGATAATCATCAAAAAGGCAGGCAGTACATTAAGGCTGAGAAGTCATTTCCATTGCACATATGTCTCTTTAAAAGTCTTTTGAAGTGAAACTTTTTCTGTGTAGTCTCAGCCAGAAGGTGATTTCTTGGAATGTTCAAGTTAATTCATTTCAGCTGTCCTAAAGCCTTATAAAGTGCAAAAAAAAAAAAAAAATGCCTTATACACACTGAAAATTTCATGGTTTTTGTGCTTATAAACTCAAATCAGAGAAGAAATATCATCAAGTTCTACTTAGCAAGGCAAATAAAGTTGGCTTTTCTCAAAGTTCAATATTTGGTTTTTTAGAAAAATAGTGACATTGTAAATCATGCAGTTATGTATTTATATTTGAAAGATAAGTGGAAAAAAGATACAAAAATCTAATTGCTATTTATATCTAATCTTTCCATTGTCTGTTTATATTCACAAGTTAGAAAATATTTTGTAGCAAAACCTGTCAAGTTCCTCTCTTCTGTCACTCCCCTAACCCCCATCCCCACCACTCACTGAATTTCAAGGGGGTTAGGTTCCTGCAATGCTATTTAGTACAGTCACTTGTGCTGTAAAACCAACTGCTATAATGACAACTTTCTGTTGCTCAGACTTTCCATTCTGAGTTTGAGAATATAATAAACAAATGCATTGGGGGGGTGCTGAAAATAATTTGAAATAAAGGTAAAAAGCCTGGACTTCCTATATATAGATACATCAAATCCTGGGCCCAATGTTTACCATATGACTTTGGATGGGCAGTATCATTTCTCTTTTAAGTCTCTGTTTCTCCTTCTGTCAACTAGAGATTTAAAAAAAACAAAATACCTGCATCCAAATTACTCTGAAGACAAAATTGTAAAGTTTTGGGACATCTGTGACATATATACCAAATACAAAAGAATTTGAGACTTTTCTTCCCATACCAGGGATCACACTCTTCAATAGAAGAGAAAACAGAATTCCTGGCCTGCTGCCACCTCTTCTTGTGGCAACACTTCAGGCATTTTTCCAGGTAAAATCACACCTTCAGAGTTCTGGTATGCAATGAGTTTCAGGGATGGGACACGACACCTCCCTAGAGAAGTCTTGAGGCATGAAGCAGAGGCAGATTGAGTAAAACTGGGGCCCTTTTAGACCTGCCTTCAAGCTCAGCCAGTGGAAAAAGATGCTAAAGATGCTGCTCCGGATCAAGGAGAAAGGAAGAGAAGAATGGCACTATTAATTTGCAAAAGCACGCATGTATCTTGAGGATATTCTGCCAAATGAAATAAGCCAGACAGAGAAAGACAAACACCATATGATTTCACTTATATTTGGAATATAACAAGCAAGATTAGTGAACAAACCACACAAAAAGAAACATATGTAGACATAGGGAACAGAGCAGAGATGAGAGAGGGCAAAATAGGTGAAGGGGGTCAACTGTATGGCGATGGGAACATTTTCAGCGGTGGCACCCATTAGGGTCTACAGAAGAACAAATATAGTGTGCACATGAAACTTGTATAATATCCTAAACCAATGTTACCTTAATACATTTTTTTAAGAAAAAAAAATGGATAATATCTCTAAGTCAAAGTTCAAGGGCTGCCACTCTGGTTCTCAATGTGTTCATGGTCAGAACAGAGTCCAATAGAGGATATGACCATGTGTTATGGAGACTCTGTACTTATTTTGAACTTCACAAGCCACCCATCATTTGAACATACCTCTGTGTGTAGCAAGTTGAAGCGTCATTATTTGGATACATATCTAATTTCCCTGTTGGAGCAGAAGTTCCTTGAAGGCAGGGACACATTTTTTGTCTTGAAGACTAACCTAGCATTCATGTTTGAGGAACAGTAGGAGAAAAGTTCCCTCTATTCCTTCCTTTAAACTTTCATGGATCAGTAACCCTCACTTTTTTTTTTTAATTTTGGTGTCACTGTTTTTATTTTATTTTATTTTTAAGTTCTACAATCAGATACTTGCTCAGAGTTCTGAAGAAAGCCCGTGTCCACTGCACAGAGTAGGAATCAGTCCAGCAAATGATTTCTCTTCTAGCATTTTGCAGGCAAGGGTTAGTGAGTCCTGAATTCTCACCTAAGTCTGACATTAACAAATCTTTTAGTTTTTAGTATCTCCGCTGTGATATTTTTCCATTCTCTAAGAACTCACCTAAAACATTTTAAAATAAGCTGATAACTATCATTTCAAGATAGCTCAGTTGGTAAAGAATCTGCCTGCAATGCAGGAGACTCTGGTTTGATTCCTGGGTCGGGAAGATTCCCTGGACACGGGAAAGGCTACCCACTCCAGTATTCTGGCATGGAGAATTCATGGACTGTATAGCCCATGGGGTAACAAAGAGTCGGACACGACTGAGCCTGTTGTTCAGTCACATCCAACACTTTGAGATCCCATGGACTACAGCACACCGGCCTTCTCTGTCCTTCATTATCTCCCAGAGTTTGCTCAGACTCATGTCCATTGAGTCAGTGATGCTATCTGACCACCTCATTCTCGGTTGCCCCCCTTCTCCTCCTGCCCATGATCCCAGCTGATTAAGAGTGCATTTTAGTAGGGGCTAGATAATGAAGGCTTCTAATGGAGACAGATAATGGAGAAGGAAATGGCAACCCACTCCAGTACTCTTGCCTGGAAAATTCCATGGACGGAAGAGCCTGGTAGGCTACAGTCTGTGGGGTCACAAAGAGTTGGACAGGACTGAGCGACTTCACCTCACCTTAGATAATGAAGCAAGTCCCTATTGTTTTATTTATTGAGAACAGACATGTTCAAATTCTTAATTTCTGTATGTTTTCTCTCTCCCTCTGTGAAATGAAACATTATTTGGGAAATCTTGAAACTGGTCAAACTTAAGGAAAAAAAGAAAAAGACTTTTTATGTAGCAGTAGTTTTATTCTATATTTCTTGTGATACTGAAAGATGTTTTTCACATTTAAATAAGCAGAGCTATATTTTATGCTTCTCACAGATTGAGGGAAGCATACTTTTAATAAGGACTAAAGTGAAAGAAAGTAAAAGTGTTAGTCACTCAGTTGTGTCTGATTCTTGGGGACCTCATGGACTGTAGCCCACCGGGCTTCTCTGTTCATAGAATTCTCCAGGCAAGAATACTAGAGTGGGTAGCTGTTCCCTTCTTCAGGGGATTTCTTAACCCAGGGATTGAACCCGGGTCACCTACACGGCAGCTGGATTCTTTATCACCTGAGCTACCAGATAAGGCCTACACACTGTATTACTCAAAAGTTAAAATAAAAAGTCATTGGAAATAATTAGACAATAAATTAGTGTTTATAAATTCGCAGCTTTCTTCTTTTGAGGGCTTGGTTCAGCTTTCATTAGTTGAATTCTATGAATTTAGATCATTTCTTCACTTCACTTTTGTATCCCTGCTCCCTCCATTTTGTCTTAGAATATATATAATATTTTAATTGCAGAATACAATATTCTACTGACTTAAAGTTCTGATTTCTTTTGCTATCCCACCACCGAGGATTCTACAGAATGCTGGGTATTCTCCACTTAGTGCTCATCAGTGGTGTTAACCATGTACAGAGCTTTAAACAACTAAGGAATATTTTCTCTACATTTAAAGTCATATGCATGAATGCATTTCTTACCTGACTAAGAATACGGCCACATTTTCTTCCTATTTTTTCCACCAAATCAAAAATTGGAAAATTCCAAGTATTCAGTTGCTCCATAATTGAGTCCAAGTTATCCATGACAAGAGGTTCAGGGGCAAGAACTGGTTTGTCCTATAATGGAGATAAAAATATTTTAACAACATGTAGTTTTTCTACACTGTTCCTTCTTTGCTAAGTTCAACAGTGGAGTTTACCTGAAATAAATGACTTTGGGGTGAATGAGTGATCTTAAAAAAAAAAGTCAAAAGAAACAAAATATCGACCCCAAAGTAATGAGAAAAGGTCTTAATGATTCAGACCATGAGTTTTGCATTATGTGCCTGCCTATTGCCGGTTCATCTATGCTACAGAAAAATTGGATGCTTCTTTCATACATTAACATAACTGCTTTTTAGTCTTCTGTGGAATTCTTAAATAAAGATTCAAGGACTTCAGAACACTCTGAAATTGTATGCAAATTTATTTCTATATATTTATGTAAATTCTTCTGAGATGAGCATTTCTGGCTTATACTGAACTCTAAAAAAAAAAAAAAAACAAAACCCTGAGTAGGGAGAGGGAGTAAATCACCCTTATTCTAATTGGTCCAATTTGTATTATTGCTTCAAAATCAGCATTCATCCTATAGAGTTACAATTACTACAATTTTCAGGTATTTTAATTTAATTCATGTGATGCGTGGTTTCCAAAAAACATGCACCAGATATATGTAAAGACAAAAATGTATAATAGGTACCAAATGACATTCTTAAGAGTTTATTTACCAGAAAAAAAATAATGAGGATAAAGAAACACCTAAGTTATTTTATCTGACAATTTTAAACTATAAATAGTAGGAGGGGATATATATGTGTGTGTGTGTGTGTGTGTGTGTGTGTGTGTGTATATATATATATATATATACACACATATATATAGTTAGGGAAGAGCCAGGTAACACTAGTGGCAAAGAACATGCCTGCCAATGCAGGAGATGTAACAGATGCAGGTTCAGTCCCTGGGTTGGGAAGATCCCCTGGAGAAGGAATTGGCAAGCCGCTCCAGTATTTTTACCTGGAGAATCCCAAGGACACATAGAACCTGGCAAGCTACTGTTCATAGGGTCACAAAGTCCTGAACACGACTGAAGCGATTTAGCACGCATATGTATAGCTATGATTTCCATTGTTGCATGGTAAAAACCAATACACCATTGTAAAGCAATTATCCTCCAATTAAAAAATAAATAAAAAATAAAAGTATAAATGACAAATTAGGTAAAAAGGAAATGATAAAAGCAGCAATGGAAAATCACATTACAGTCAACTGTTTTCTGCTATTTATTGCCTCCCCCAGATGAACCAGACTCAAATGTATGCTTCTGTCCTCTTTAAGTGGAGCTCTTTAAATACACAGAATAAGTCATCACTAAAAAATATTTTAATGGGGAGCAAATGTCAATGTCAACCTGGTTTAATATAACATGGAAAATAAGCAGTGGCTCACTCCCTAAATCAAGGAGGTGCTAGAAAAAGCCAACAGAAGTCCTAAGATAATGAATAGATTTCATTTTGATTGATTGATATTTATAAAATATTATCTTCCTGATTGAAACAGTTAATTTTCCTAGGCATATTTACATTTTTAGATTGGGTTAAGAAATACTGTAATCAGATGTGGAGATGAACACTTAAGATTTAATCATTAAATAATAGAACTGACCCTATGGCTGTAGCCTGCCAGGCTCCTCTGTCCACAGGATTCTCTAGGCAAGAATATTGGAGTGGATTGCCATTTCCTCCTCCAGGGCATCTTTCCTACCCAAGGATCAAACCCACATCTTTTAATGTCTCCTGCACAGGGAAGCAGGTTCTTTACTACTAGCACCACCTGGGAAGCCACAATAGAATCTTGAGACCAGTAAGACTGAGACAGAGAAAAATAATACAGATATATATAGGAAGGGCTACAAGATACATGTAACCCAAGTAAAACATGATTCAGGGATATATTTCTAAGTCAGTTCCTATCACAGAAGCCAATTTTTCAAGTAAATGAATGAGATAAGTGATGGGTGCCTACCAGGAACATCATGGTCTCCGGAGCATAGGTGCTGCAAGCTGACGTCTTTCTCAGAGCCTCTCTGGGGCCCTCGGTCTCATCTTCATTCTGAACAATATCACTGCTATCACTGTTGTTATTGGTTTCATAATCAGAGGTAACTTGAGTGATGTCATCTGCAATTAAAAGGCAATAGCCTATTATGAAACTTGAAATGAAAAAAGGGGTCCCATTTAAGCAAATAGTCCTAAAACACATAGTACAGATATCATAGTTAGGAAAATACCATTTTCCTGAGCTTACACACCAAAAACATAGGATCAAAGGGTGGGCGAAAGCACACATTTTTGTTGTTCAGTTGCTAAGTCATGTCCAACTATTTGTGACCCCATGGACTGCAGCACCCCAGGCTTCCCTATCCTTACTATTTCCCAGAGTCTCAGCAAACACATTCATTTTAACCCAATAAAATAGATGGAATTATGATCTGTGATTTATATGACATTTAATAATCCCTCAATAATAATGCTCAGGTCGGTAGTTGATACCTCTTTGTCATCCCATGGATTGTAGCCTGCCAGGCTCCTTTGTCCATGGAATTCTCCAGGCAAGAATACTGGGGTGAGTCGCTGTTTCCTTCTCCAGGGGATCTTCCTGATCCAGGAATCTAACTCAGGTCTCCTGCACTGCAGGCAGATTCTTTACCATCTGAGTCACCAGGGCTGCTAATCCCCAAATCCCACTTTCTCTCTCCCTCACACGCTTTCCTTTTTGGTAACCATAAGTTTATCTTCTATGTCTGTGCATCTACTTCTGTTTTGTAGATAAGTTCACAGGTATCATATAAACTCCTATGACTTTATATTTCTTTTTCTTTTATGCATGCACCAACACACTAAATTACCAAGCAGCTGACTAGAACCCTAACTCTAAAAATGTCACATGGGCAAGACAATTTGAGGTGATATCCAAGAACAAAGCAACCTGAAGAATATAGAAGCCACAGCATGTGCCAAAGAGCATGGCAGGTCCTTGTATCCAATCTTGGTCCCTGGAGATCTGCGCTCCCTTCCTTCCTTCCTTCCCCATCTCCACTATCTTTCATTGCAGTCAGTACCAAACTCTGCTAATCAGAAAATGCATCAGGTAATGTCAAGAGTCTGAAGAACATGCTTCCGGGGTAAAGACCTCAAGAAGCTTCTTGTAGCTGAATAAAACACCTGTCTGAAATTTATGGGGTGCTTGCTACGTAGCAGATACCACAGAAAGCACTTTGTTTGTACAAACATGCTGAATCCTCTCAACAATCCTATGAGGCAGGTATTATTGCATTACTGCATTACTATTATGCTCATTTAACAGACAGGAAACTGAGGCACAGAAAGGCTTAAATTGCCCAAGAGCTCACAGCTGGTAAATCCTACCACCAGAAGCAAACTTATGAAATCTGAGTTCCTATATTCTACTTCTGATGAAATCCAGCTTTGTTTAAAATGGTTATTGCTTTCCATGACCTATGAACTCTTCACCTTTCCCTAAGTCACAAAGATATCTTCCTGTGTTTTCTTTTTTTTTTTTTCCTGTGTTTTCTTTCAGAAGTTTTACTGTTTCAGCTTTTACCATTGGGTCTGTGTGCCATCTCAGGATAAAAGTTGCATATGGTGTGAAGTAAGGGGTGAGATTCATTTTTTTCCAGCCCCTTTGGCTTGGAAAAGTGGATCTTTGTTGAAAGTTCAACAACTGAATAGGTATGGGTCTAATGTGGCACTTTCTACTCAATTCCATATGATTCTATTTGATAATCTTTACATCAGCACCATACTTTCTTCATTATGGTGGTTTAAGTCTTGAAGGAAATTTTGTTCTTTTTTTCCAAAGCTGCTTGAATAGTCTAGGTTTGTCACATGTCCTCATATTGCTGGTGAATAATGGCTTTTATTATGTAGCCTATTCTGATCAGGAGTATCCTGTGGCACATTTTCAAGGACCTGTCTTTCTTTTATCTTTCTCATGCAACTACTTCTATGTTAGAATCAGACACAATAACTATAGAAAATGTAATTGATAAGTTTCAATGCCAGAATCTGCAGAAAAATGAAGAAGCACACTCAAAGGCCATATAGTTCTACAGGAGACCAAAGGTGATAAGGAAACACTCCTTATTCTATCAGCCTCAGTAGAGTCAGGGAAGATCAGGGATATAGAAAAGAGAATATTCTGAGTCTTCAGTGTACCATATCATATAATGGCTACACAGAGAATCCTCCTTTTAATTTCTTCTTGCCTATGTCCCTGGACCTTTGTCCACAACCATAGCACATCATTCTCGGAGGCAAATAATCAGTATTTGTTGTGTATTAAAAGATGTTGGAGCAGATACTTAAGACCCATTCTTAGATCACTCTATCATCATAAAGTCTAACGTTCATGTGTGTGTGTGTGCGCACACGTGCTCAGTTGTGTCTGACTCTTTGCAATCGCATGGACTATAGCCTGCCAGACTCTTCTGTCCATGGAATTTCCCAGGCAAGGATATTGGAGTGGGTTGCCATTTGCTACTCCCAGGGGATATTCCTGACCCAGGGGTCGAACCCTGGTCTCTTGGGTCTCCTGTATTGGCAGGCAGATTCTTTACCAGTAGCGCCACCTGGTTTCCTATCTTGTGAACTTGCAGCAATAACAAAAGCAAGTCCCTAGGGTTACACCAATAAAAATAAAATAATAATTATTACAATAATTATGGTAGCAAACACTTACTCCTTACAGTGACCCAGATACTGTAATAAATGCTTTATGTGCTTTAGTAATTTAACTATCTATAATCCTGTTCCAGTAGGACCCTTATTATCTCTATTCTACTGATGAAGGAACTAAGACACAGAGATTACAGACAAGTCAGAAGCAGAATCAGGATATAAATCAGGCTGCAATGCCTATTTTTCTGAGCCTCTGTAATACTGCCTCAAGAAAAACTATGGTTTTTACCTCCCAAACTCACAGTAATCTAAGCAGGCTCTGAATTAGTAATCTAATTCTCAGGCTCTGTGATGGAGATCCCCAGAACGTATCCTAAGATAGATGACCCTCCCATGTTCAAGATAAAATAGCATTTCTATAGCATTCTATACACTATAGAAAATGGTGTCTCATTTAAAAATATATTCATTTGTGTATAGACACATAAACATTTTTGATAGCTTTACATCAAAACGTAACCCATGATTAACTCTAGGTAGTAGGACTATGGATGATTTTGATTTCCTTCATTGTCTTTTTAAACTTGCAATCTAAAAAAATCAGAAACATATGTTACCTTTTTCTGATCAGAAAAAAAAAAAATCTAGCAGAGCAATTTCCATTTTGAGGAACAGAATCCAAAGAAGAATTACCTGTTCTGCTTGGTGTCCGAATGGCCGCCCCACTTCTTTCCAGGGGCCCATCGGCAGAAGTCCCTTGGGAATATGGTCTGCCACAGCTGAGAAATAATGGAACAGCTGTAAGTAGGTCCTTTCTTTTCAGAAAACTGTAGGCACACACCATGTATGTATACATTAAGATAAATAACAGTCAAATATTCTGGCACTCTACTTATTCCTTTGATGGAAAAAAATCATTTTGTCTTATGGAAGGACATTGAAATGTGGGATACTGTTTTGGGCAGTGGTAAGGAAAGCAAGTTAAAAAGCAGAGACATTACTTTGCCAACAAAGCTCCGTGTAGTCAAGGCTATGGTTTTTCCAGTAGTCATGTATGGATGTGAGAGTTGGGCTATAAAGAAAGCTGAGCGCCAAAGAATTGATGCTTTTGAATTGTGGTGTTGGAGAAGACTCTTGAGAGTCCCATGGACCACAAGGAGATCCAACCAGTCCATCCTAAAGCAGATCAGTCCTGGGTGTTCATTGGAGGGACTGATGTTGAAGCTGAAACTCCAATACTTTGGCCACCTGATTCGGAGAGCTGACTCATTTGAAAAGACCCTGATGCTGGGAAAGATTGAGGGCAGGAGGAGAAGGGGATGACAGAGGATGAGATGGTCAGATGGCATCACCAACTCGATGGACATGGGTTTGGGTGGACTCCACGAGTTGGTGATGGACAGGGAGGCCTGGCGTGCTGCAGTTCATGGGGTTGCAGTGTCAGACATGACTGAGCAACTGAACTGAACTGAACTGAGGGAAAGCATAATCAATACAAAGGATCAGATACTCTGTTCAACTCTCATGCTCTTCCACAATCAAGATCATATTTGAGGTGAAATGAAACTGTTGATAACTTTCTCTCATGTTATTTAGAGAATCCTGGGATAGTCAGCTACATACTTATAGCAGTGATTTTGGAAGTGCCCATGTGTATTTGGTTAAAAATATCTTTCCCAGTGGAATCACTTTGTGTCTGCTAAAAAGCTTCATGATTAGATTTATTTCTGTGGGTTATGTCCAAAAAGCCCTTTAAAAAATGACTGCAAACATGAAAATAAAAAATGGTAGATTATTTTTATTTTTTGCCATAAAATTTAATTGTTTGTTTTCAGATGGATCAGTTCACCTGTTAAGGCCCTATGGAAATGAATAAAGGATACATACATTTTGACAAACAGTGGATATACACCTGACCACACAGGACACAAGTTGAGAAAAACAGATCAAGGGAGTATACTGTGCGTAACGGAGAAAAAGGGCTTCCCTGGGGGCTCAGTGGTAAGGAATCTGTTTGCCAGTGCAGGAGATGTGGGTTCAATCTCTGAGTTGAGAGGATGTCCTGGAGAAGGAAATGGCTACTCACACCAGTATTCTTGCCTGGAGAATCCCATGGACAGGGGAGCCTGGAAGGACAATCCATGGGATTGCAAAGAGTCGAATATCAACAATGGAGAAAAATGAAGGTCCTTGAGAGGTGGGCAGGGTTCTTTAACAGAGGAAGTTGGAGAAGGCAGGCTACTTTTGCTTTCTCAACAGTTTTGACTGTTTAATAAATTACAAAGTAATCCCACAAATGGTCTGGCAAATTTCTTCTCTCACTTATCTTGTTTAGAGACTTGATTAGGTTTTAGTTCTGTATTTTGTTTCTGGGTTCTTTCATTCTGCCTAATATTATTCATACAAAGGGTCTCAGAGAACTTTTGTTTATTTGCTATTTAGCCACAAATTACTCACTCTAAATGGAAAAGAGAAGAATCATAGTTTATAATTGAATATATTAAATATCTCATCACTTTTTCCCCTTGAATTGTGTTTATATGTGTAGTAGAGATAAGCATTTCCTAGTTAGAGTGTTTTCATCCAAAGCAAATTTATTTTTCAAGCCTTGAATGTCAGTGGAAAAGCATCACATACAAAATATTTCTAATTATGAAATCCCGCCAGTCTGATTTAGGGACTCAAAAGAAAATGACAGAACCGAAGGAAAAAGTCCACAGATGTAAATGATGGGCTTATGTTCTGGGATGAAACTCGGTAAAAGTAGTTTACTAGTCTGAAGATTTTTCTTTGCAAGATAATACTTGAAAGGAACGTTTAAATTAGGAGTTCAAATAGACTACCTCTCCTGCCAGAAAAACAGCTTGTTGCATAGACATTACAGCAGCCAAGAGACCCGGACTCAACGCCAAGCCCTTCAAGTTCAGCAGGGAAAACCACAATAATTAGTCGTGTGTTTCTGGAGCTCTCTGTACCTACATGGGTGGCTGCCTTGGAGGCAATAATAAAACATGGTTTGAATTATAGATTTATAAAGCCCCAGCAAATAAAACACACACTACTGGATTTATAAACATTACTGAACAAGTAGGCAGTGAAATTCCCTTGTTTTTCTCCAAAACCTCTTTTATAAAAATCCCATTACATTCTTTCTGCTAAGAATACAAAAAAAAAAAAAGGACTGCGGTGAGCAAAGCTACGGGAGTGTTATAATACATCTTTTCTGGACCCTTCTGTTCTTTCTATAGGCAACTGATTTCTCACAAGTCTGAGGCTCACAGTGGGAGTGTCTCCCAAGAAATGCTGCAAGCAGATGTCATTGAGTCTGGGGACTCCCTTGGGTTTCATCTGGGCCCAGGACGCACACCACAAAAAAGTGTTTCTTCAGGGTGTTCCCCCAGACACTAGTTTCATGGGCAATTATTGGGTGTTAACCTAAAGAAATGGGTTCTGTGGTCAAATAAAGTCAGGAGATGCCAGACGAAACAAAACTCAAGGCGTTGTCTTTTTGCAGGACTTCTCAGAGCTTCCAATAAAGTGATGTGTGTTGTAAATCGCTAAAAGGAAAATAGGATAGGCCTGTTTACCACAGAAAAAGATGGGATTAACATCCCAAGGGAATGATTGTATTGAAAATGGTGTTATGCAGAGAGCAGCAGAGTAAGTTTTGGATGGTGGAGTAACTTTTCACTCCGGTCCTAACCGAACACAAATTATCTTCCTTTTGAAAGTATTTGTAAAGAGAAAAGAAGCAAAAATACAGATTATAAAAATAATTATTTAACACAGAATTTATGAACAAAGGGTAGGAAAATGAAATTTGTGAGGCTTAAATTTGAATTCACTGGTCAAATCTGGGTCTGTGACCCAGTATTTAATATAAGAAGACCAACATGTAACTAATTTATTCAAACAGTTATCATCATTCATCTTAGGGGGAAAATAACATTTTATTCAAGGCACTCTCATAATTATGCTTAATTTTAAAACACTCTTTTCTACTTAAAAAAATTGCAAAGCTTTAAAGCAGAAGCTATTGCTGAAGAACAATAATATGTTAATTGGTAGAGGAGGTATTCCTTTTTTAGTGACAATACAGACAAAATAATTAATCTTGCCATGTTAGATCCTTTTTTCTTATCCCCTGTAAGAGACAATACTTTGTCTCTCTGTTTAAACATGACAGAGCAGCACAAGCAATTGCTTCATTGTATTCAGAGATCCATTTGAGAACAGTCACAATGTGCCACATGTTATCTGCACATTTTTTAAGTGTCACAATGGGAAATGCAAACTTAAAAAAACAGTACCTTTAAAATTGGTATAAAATTCTCCCTGGAGAACAAGTAAAAAAAATATCCCAACAAAATACCAAATTATACTGAATGACTCGATAGGAGTTTTTAATTAGATGTTTTATACATTAGATGTTTTAACAGTAAGCAGATAAAATATACAACTAATTATTTTATATCAGCACCAAAGACATGTACGGAACATAAGGTCTCTAAAACTCTTATTAATGGAGAAGAATTGAAAAATTAAGTTTCTATTCCAGCCTATTCAGCACAGACCCCACTATCTTGTACGTTCTTGTCAACTACTTAGGCAACTTACACAAAGTTATGTGGCCTGTGGTGAGGGTTCCTAAGAGGAAAACCAGTGTTAGCTTTATTATTACCTAGACTCCAGTGAACAACATAAATTCCTTACCTGCTGCATATGACAGGCGGATTCAGGATCTGAGGAGAAAGATCAGGGGCACTCTGTGTGTAAGTTAAGGCCCGGTGAGAACTTAGGCCTGATTTGGCAGTTGTCTCGGAAGACTCTGGAAACTGCACTGAAGAAATTTTGCTGATTGGGCTGCTGGCGGGGGTCCCGTGGAGAGGTGAAGAACAGGGTGAGGAAAGAGGTGAAATTTTCACTAGGGAACCTAATAAAGAAAGAGAGAATTGTTAAGTCTTAAGTAAATGTCTTTGAAAGTCAAACTTGCAGCTCTTAGCCTTCCCTTTGGATTCCTTTTAACTCAGGAAGGACCATGTGAGTCCTCAGACCACAGGGCCGGCCTTCTCTGCAGACAGGCTGCTCAGTGGGGCATCACCGCAGCATGAAATATGAGAAATGAATCATCATGAAAACTCAGTGGCAATGCTGGCAAGTTCAGTTAAAGCCCTGGTGTCCTGGAGTAACTTCAGGACAGAAAGATATTATTTTCTAATTTTTATTGGAGTATAGTTGATTTACAATGCTGTGTTAGTACATCAATGTGAATTAGCTATATATATATACACACACACACACATATATATATATATCTCCACTTTTTTTAGATTCTTTTCCCAAATAGGCCATTGCAGAGTATTGAGTAGAGTTCCCTGTGCTATATAGCAGGTTACTATTAGTTACCTATTTTATATATAGCAGTGTGTATATTTCGATTCCAATCTCCCAATTTATCCCCGCCCCCTTCACTTATACTCTGGTGACCATAAGGTTGTCTACATCGGCAACTCTACTTGTTTTGTAAACATGTTCATTTGTAACCTCCCTTTCCTCCTTTTTTTTGTAGATTTCACCTATAAGCGCTATCATATGATATTTGTCTTTCTGCAGAAAGGTATTATTTTCTCCTCTCATCTTTGTTTCTTCTTGGCATTCTGACCTGATGATAATAGTTAAAAATTTCTCATATGTTTGCCTTTTCTTTGGTTATGAGGTTTTTAGTAGCAACAGGATCTGCCATAGTTTTCAACATTACTGTATGTGGAGCAGAGTTTTTTGGCAGGCATTGGTTGCTTAGTGGTGGTGATGGTTTAGTTGCTAAGTCATGTCTGATGCTTGTGACCCCGTGGACTGTAGCCTGCCAGGCTCCTCTGTCCATGGGATTTTCCAGGCAAGAATATTGGAGTGGGTTGCCATCTCCAGGCAATCTTCCTGACCCAGGGATCAAACTTGTGCCTCCTGCGTCACAAGCAGATTCTTTATCGCTGAGCCACCACTGGTTGCTTAAAATATGTCAATGAAGAAGATCCATTTTTGAGGGGCTTTATTAACCATCCAGATTTTCAGTGAAACTAACTTTTGTGTGTCAGAAACTGTTTGGATCAGCATCATTTCTGAAGAAAACATTGAAAAATGTAATATGATCCATTTCAGATGAAACGATGGCCTCAAGCTCAAATGATAAGTGTGGACATTTGTGCCAAATTGTGTTTACTCTCGGTTGTGAAAATTTTAAAGAGCACTGGCATCAATTTCCAAGCGCTGACGTCTGAGGACCGGGATGATGTCTTTTGAAGTTACTCTCTCTAAATACAGAGAGAGCAGTCTGCCCTAAAACTGAAGGAGAGAGAGAGAAAACTTCTAAATAGCCTCCTCCTTACTATTTCTCATGACTACATGGCTAAACAGTCTACTGTAAAGCAAATAAAATGAAATCCTTAAAAGTCAGTTTTCTATTGCTCATCACTCTGGGGAGATGTACAGTCAGCGATATTCACATCACTGAATAAGATGTGTGGTGACCTGGCAGTTGGCCTAGTTTGCTTCCAACGTCCAGTTCTCTCAAAAGTTTTATTTGTCACACCCAGAGGTTTTCTGGTCCACTGAAAGGAATATTAGGCTTGTTGACGGGCTTTTATAATGTTTAAGTTTCTTGTTAGCACTGCTATTTCTTGTTTTGTCTACTTTAAAAGATAAGAAATTATACTCTTCCTTTGATTAAATGTGGAGGCCAGTTACCCCCTCCAAGTCCTTTTCTCAATATTTCTATGGATTCCTGATCAACAGCTCAATGCCTGCCTATGTTGAACAAATGAAACCACTTTGACCCAGGAAGATTAAATAACTTCCCCAGGGTTATAGTGAGAGGAAATAGAATATGGAGTGGGCCTAGCATTCTTGGTAGATTGTGCTTTATTAGCACATCATTCTATCAAAAACTACTCAACGAGGAAGGAAAATTTATTACCTACTAGGTTCCATCTGTTTTGCTCTTTATAATCACATAGCTTATGGTTTTCATTTTGATATCTATTTCTATTGAAAAGATTTATTTTACCAAAGAAAAATCAAAGTGTTAGTCGTGTTTGACTCTTTGCAACCCCATGGACTGTAGCCCACCAGGCTCCTCTGTCCACTGGATTCTCTATTCAAGAATATTGGAGTAGGTAGCCATTCCCTTTTCCAAGGGATCTTCTTAACCCAGGGATCGAACCTAGGTCTCCTGCATTGCAGGCAAATTTTTCACTGTCTGAGCCACCACTGACAAATTATCTCATATAATTTCCTGAATCAAAAGACAACTAAGTGCACTAGATTTTTAACTCACTGTTTCCCAACCAACCTATTGTGTGCAGCAAATAAGTTAAAAGTGTTCTGGAAGTACTAACGGTTTTACATTTTTTATCAATTTGAGTGCTCCAGGATAAATTAAATTTTACTATGATAACTAATGTAATTTTCTTATCATTATTATAAAATAAATACAATTTTCACAAACCTCTCAATTCTTTTCATTTCACCACAGCTATATAACATCATATTTGCACATATCATTATACAAATATATAAGCTCTCATATAAGAAAGGTTAGAAAATGCTAGTTTAATTTATACTGTTTATTAAATTAAGGCTGACTGAGTCTCCAGATAATCTTAGAAAAGCAGCTTAACCATTAAGGAGTTGGGTACTAGTTTGATGTGGTTTAAAGGTTATCAAGGTATTTGCACAGAGTAAGTGTCCCAATGATCTGTTCATTTAACAAATATTGATTGTGTGACGCAGGCCAGGGAGTAAAGGATGCGGTAGTGAATGAAAGAAAATTCCCTGCTCTTGGAGCTTTCAGGGGAGACAGAAACTAGAGAAAGAAGAGAAGGAGGAAGAAGAAGAAAGCAGGGTGGGGAAGAAAAGAAAGTCAGGGAATTTTAACTGATATAAAGAAACTATTATATAGAGTGAAGTAAGTCAGAAAGAGAAAGACAAATATTGCATATTAATGCATATATATGGAATCTAAAAAGATAGTACTGATCACCCTACTTGCATAGTAGCAAAGAAGACACAGACACGGTGGATACAGTGGGGGAAGGAGGAGGTGGGATGATGAGAGAATAGCACTGAAACATAAACATTACTATATGTAAAACAAATAGCCAGTGGGAGTTCGATGTATGATGAAGGGAACCCAAAGTCAGTGCTCTGTGACAACCTAGAGGGGTGGAATGGGGATGGAGGTGGGAGGGGGATCAAGAGGGAGGGGACATATGTATACCTATGGCTGACTCATGTTGATGTATGGCAAAAACCATCACAATATCGTAATTATCCTCTAATTAAAATAGATAAATATATACACACACAAAAATAAATATATTTCATACCCAGAAAACAAATAATGCAGAGGGGAGAGGATCAAGAAGGACAGAATGCACTAAGGGTAACATTTGAACAGAGACTTGATAAAATAAGGAAGACATTTAGGTAAGTATTGGGGGAAGCATGTTCCAGAAAGAGGGACCTACTCAGGGGTTGTCAGAGGATCAGTTAGGAGGTCAGTGTGACTGCAGGTTAGCAACGAGGAAGGAGGGGCAGGGAACATGGTCAGAGAGATGGTAGGGCAAGGTTGTGTGGGGCTGGCCAGGTCATGGCGAAGTTTTAATTGCTGCATCATTTTTTTTTTAAGGAATTATCTTTTTTGTGGTGGTGGTTTTTTGTTTGTTTTGTTTAGCTGCATTGCAAGGCATGAAAGATCTTAGTTTCCCGACCAGGGATTGAAACCGTGGCCCCTGCAGTGGAAGCACAGTGTCTTAACTACTGGATCACCAGGAAAGTCCCAATTGGGTGGTGCTAAGTGGTAAAGAACCTGCCTGCCAATGCCAGAGACATAGAGATGCGAATTCGATCCCTGGGTCAGGAAGATTCCCTGGAGGAGGGCATGGCAACCCACTACAGTATTCCTGCCTGAAAAGTCCTATGGACAGAGGAGTCTGTTGCCTACAATCCATAGGGTCACAAACGATCCATACAGTCCATAGAGCAGGACATGAATGAACGACAGGGCGCACACACACACACACCAAAGAGACTCCTGACAGGCGCCTGGCTGGAATTGCTGAAATTCCGCGTTAGGCAATTTCTTTATCCTGATAACTAATTGTGAGTTTGGGGATAGTTTCCTAGCACTTTTTAAAAATAGTTGAAAGCCTGTGGGAACATGATCCATTTCTGTCTGCACACAATATATTTTCTGAAGGCAATTTATGAGAGGAGTGATTTTCTTCATTGTTGATTTTTAATAGCTGCCAGCTGATTCTCTCAGAGACACGCAATTCGCTCTTAAAAATACAAATTTAAAAATCCACTCAAAGATTTGGGTTCTTGGTACTCAGGGATTAACAAAATGTAAAACAAATAAGCAGAACTAAAGACTCCAGACTTACTGCCTGGGATGAAATGTAAAATGAACCTTGCAACAGAGGAAAAACACTTTGCTTCTGCAGGGCTGTGAGGTTACATGTTTTGAACTATCTGAACAAGCAGGGGTCTTGGCAACTCCATGAAAAGCAAGAATATTTTTACTCTGCAGGTGAGAAGATAAAGGCATAAACACATAAATTTCTTTTTCCTCAAGCCAAACTATTTCTCAGTGTGCCTTATCATGGTTTACTTAAAATTTTAAAAGCAGAAATGGTTAGGAATGCTGTAGAAAATGGCCATATATTTACATATATTAGTCTTCAAATAGGAGAGATGACAAGTGTAGATAATAACCAAACAAAAGAAGTGAAAGTGAAAGTTGCTCAGTCATGTCTGACTTTTTGTGACCCATGGAATTCTCCAGGCAAGGATATTGGAGTGGGTAGCCTTTCCCTTCTCCAGGGGATCTTCCCAACCCAGGGGTTGAACCCAGGTCTCCCATATTGCAGGCAGATT